TTTTATAAAATTTAATAATAAAAAATATAATAAATATACATTGAACATATACCCTAATAGAAAAACTCAGATAGTAACCCTAATGGCCTCATTGTTCATAAGTTTTCGAACTTGAGTTTCCTTAGGTACCCAGGGAGTAGAACTCACACGTCCGCCGCCACCAAAGACTCTAAAAAACCTTATTGAAATAATGAAAGGGTTTTTTTTAAGGGTTTTTATAATCTATATATACAAAAAGTGCATTACTTATATTTTAACTAAAAATTGATATTAATTATATATTTTTATTTAATTAAAAATATTTATATGATATATATACTAAAATTAGTATTAATTTTTTATTTTTATATAAATTAATATATTTAAGACATTTTTAACCTATATAGGTAGGGAACAACTTATTTTAAATGTAATTCCACTTTAGGGAAAATTATGGCCTTCTAAATTCTAAATAAAGAATCCTAAATCCAAAAATAAAGTAAATTTAATATAAATAAGAACAAAAATAAAGTAAATTTAATACTCCAAAGATAAAATGACAAGAGTGTGAAAAGACGCGGCAGAGCAGCAAGTGGTAAAACGAAGCCCCACAAAAATATCTATTACCCTAAACTCAAAGTCAAAAGCTTTTCACAAAGAGTCCCACCAAAATATCATTTAGCAGTCTCATTTACTTTCACAGTTTCACTGGATAATAGCTGAGGCCAGCTGGTAGTTACAGGCAAAAGAATTTAATTTAAATCTTTTAATTTAAATTTTTGTATTGTTAACTAATTGATCCTTTAACATATAAAAAAAATATATAAAAGAAGAGTAATTAAGGAATCTAATTTAAATAAAATAAAATTAAAATTAAAATATTTTAATATTTAAAATATTGATATGTTCAATAATAATTACTAATAAGTTAATAAAATTAAGGTTAAAATGTCAATTTTGTCCCTAAACTTTTAAATTTATATTAAAATGGTTCCTCAACTTCAAAAAATATTAAAATTATCCTTAAATTTTAATTTTTAATACTAAAATAGTCCTCAAATTTTAAAAATAATACTAATTTAGTCCTTAAAATTTGAAGATAACTATCCACTTAGTCCTTGAACTTGGATTATAAATATCAATTTACTTTTTTAATTTCAATTATATATCAATTTAATATGTAAATAAAAATATATCACAATGGTAAAATATAATTAATTGATTTTACACATTATTAATATTTTATAAAAAAAATTAGTTTATAGCAAAATAACGAATTACGTAATATTTTTGTTAATGAAAGGACTTTTTAAATACTAAAAATTAAAATTTAGGGATAATTATAATTTTTTTTTAAGTTAAAGAATAATTTTAATATAAAAATAAAAATTGAGAGACTAAACTAATATTTTAATTTAAAATTAAAATTTATTTTATGTTTTACATATTAATAATTATAATTAAATATCTTAATATTTTAAATATTACAACATTTTGATTTTTTTATTTTCTCGTCAAATAAAATTATTACCACTTCAGCACACTACTAAAATCCTTATCTTCAGCAACATGCTTCAAAGTGCTTCTCATGTTGCTGAAAGTCCTTCAACAACATGGCTTTGGTTGCTAAAAGTTTTGTTGGAGAAGGCTTGGTGGGTAATACATTACTAACCAAAATTTTGTTGTTAATGTATCAGCAACATAAGTTATGTTGCTGAAAATATAGTATCAATAACGTAGCTTATGTTGTTGAAAACATTCATTAGAATGCAGTGGGAGTGGGTGGTGAATTTTCTCACCCTCTTCAACAACATAAGTCACATTGCTAAAGATAGGGTTTTAGCAATGTGGCTTATGTTGCTAAAAATTGGGAGGAATATGATTGGAATCCAGTATTGAAGTTTTGCCTAATTTTTAGCAAGAAAAGCCACGTTGTTGAAACTATATTTTCAGCAATGTGGGTTTCAGGAATGTGGTTTGTGTTGGTAAAAGTTAGGGGGAGAGTGGTTTCCCACTTTTTAGCAACATATTCCTTGTTGCTGATTGTATACTTTCACCAACATGGTCCAAGTTGGTAAAAAAAATAGTTGGATTTTGGCACCAGAATTCTTAGTCCATTTTTAGCAAGAAAAGCCACGTTGTTAAGACCATATTTTCAGCAACGTGGCTTGTGTTACTCAAAAGTAAGGAGAGTGTCCCCAACCTTTTGGCAACATGGCTCTTGTTGTTGATAGTGAGGTGAATAGTAAACCCAATGTTTTGAGAAACATAACTCTTGTTGCTGATGCTCCCTCCAATAATACCAATCACATTTTCAACAATATACCTCTTCTTGCTAAGGTTTATTCCTATGGCACCAACCACATTTTTAGCAAAATACACCTTGTGG